GGTGGGAGCTAAAAATAAATAAATAAATTCACACACACACACACACAAAAAAAACCGGGGGGCGGGGGAGGAAGACATAACAATTACAATGCCTTAAAGTTGATACGAGTGAATAGAAAGGACATTGTTTGGGGGGAGGGGGGAGAGGGAAGAGGGAGGGAGGTTTCAGTAATGGGCCACAATAACCAACCACATTGTATATTGACAAAATAAAATTTAAAAAAGAAAGAAAAAAAGAATACAACCTAGCAATACAAAGGAACAATTTTTTTTTTTTTGGTGGCCGGCCAGTATGGGGATCTGAACCCTCGACCTTGGCGTTATGACACCATGCTCTAACCAACCAAGCTAACCAGTCAGCCCAAGGAACAAACTCTTGATACAGGACAAAACCTTGTATAGATCTCAAGGGAATTATGCTGAACAAAAACAAGCAAATCTGATTCCATTTACAGAGCATTCTTGAAATGACGAGATCTAATGAAGAAGAGATTAGTGACTGCCAGGGATTAGGAATGTGGGGAGGAAGGCAGGTGGCTGTGGATATAAAGGAGTAGCATGAGGGACCTTATGCTGGAAATGTTCTGTATTTTGACTGTGGTGGTGGCCAAGAGTCTACGTAGGACAAATTTATATAGAACTAAATATAGTCACAAATGAGAACATGTAAAAACTGGTGAAATTTGAATAAGATTGATGGATTGTACCACTGTCCATTTCTTGGTTGTGTTATTGTGCTATAGTTAAGCAAGATATTACCACTGAGAGAAAACGAATGAAGAGTATGTGGATCTCTCTGTATTATCTTACAGAAAGGATACACACATAACTAGAGAGCAGGAGTGGGGGTGAGAAAGGGGACTCTTCATTTTTCACTTGGTACCTTGTTTTTGCTGTTTTTGTTTTTACCACATGCACGCATTAGTTCTTTTTTTAAAAAATTACGATTTGTGTTTGGCTCTGTAAGAGAAATCACTTCCAGGAATTTTAACTTGCAGGAAATTTAATTTTAATCTAAAATACATAGACAAAAAGGTTGTTTAGGAAACATAAATAGTATTTGATAAGCTTGGAATTTGAAATACAATGCAAGAAAGTGGTTCAGTATTTAATTCTGAGTATTGATATAATTGTGAATTTTGTATAAAAACTATTGATCAGAAGAAGAAGGGAAAAATTAAGTACGAAACTCTCCTTGTATTAGAAGATAAGAGTGTTTCTTTAATAGCAAACATACAGCTACATTTGGGGGCTTTCCCCTTTCTTGTTTTGGATTCTATCTGGTAGGAGTTCAGAAATTATAATCTAGATTATGGGTGTAAGGATTAGTTTAGAAACTGTTCAGTTTCCAACTGTCTAGCTAGTTTCTCCGCCAGAGAAGGTTAGAGTTGGCCATTGGATTAGGAAAATAGGATGCTAAAGTCTTTTAAAGAAGACTGGACAGAGCAGGGAAGTTTGTATGTACAAGATTATCCCACTTAAACCTGGGAATAGACTCAGGATTAAGTTAAGCAATTGATACATTTAAAAAACAATGGGAATGATACACAATTGTACCCAAATGTTGATTTACAAAATTTATTTTTTCATTTTTTTTTTGTTTCCCAGAATGTGATCATTTTAAAAAATAGGAAATTTTTAAAAGTACATGTTTTAGGGGTGGCCCTGTGGCGCACTCGGGAGAGTGCGGCACTGGGAGCGCAGTGACGCTCCCACCACGGGTTCGGATCCTATATAGGACTGGCCGGTGCGTTCACTGGCTGAGCGCCGTGCAGGCGACACCACACCAAGGGTTGTGAAGCCCTTACCGGTCACGAAAAAAAGACCAAAAAAAAAAAAAAGTACATGTTTTAGTCCGTTTTGTTTTGCTATAACAGAATTAACTGAGACTGGGTAATTTATAAAGAAGAGACGTTTATTTGGCTTACAATTCTGGGACAGCTGCGTCTGGCACGG